GATTTGCCATGTTCAACACCTTGGTTGCCTATTATTCGAGAGATAGTGACTCCCGTGATAGATTCATCGATAGACTATTGAGTCATCTCAAGGATTCAAGAGTCATATTATGAATCCTTCTTGTCAGATATCCCAGAAAGTGGAATCATAGCATGGATTTGTTGACGTCGAATCTCGCCTGGTGGCGGCCCGTCCTGAGGCATCAACCATTTACTGGCCCGATTTCTTGGAAACCACTTTGCAACTTCTCATTGTGTAAGAGGCCAGACTGACACCATCTCCAGCCTGAGGCGAAACTGAACCTTTGACCCTCCAATTTGATCCATTGTTGATCCTGGAGGAAGCTGTTGGCTCTTGACGACTGAGTCACGTCGACTCGCTGACGCTTACATCTCGCCTTGTCTCGTCTTAGGGGGGCATCACACGACCAGCAGCGTCGACGGTTGGAATCCGTCAAAGATGGAGGAGGACTGTGAAGATCTCAACTTGATCGTCTGTTCCTTGCAACACTAGACCTAATTCTCTGTCTTGCTTGCGATTCCTACCTGTACGATATTGTCAGAATTACGTTCGAGACCATTGGCAGCCAGGCGTTTTCCTCTACTCTTTCGTTCTCTCCTCACCTTCCTAGAACAACAACTTTATTGCACAACCGGCATCGGATACACTCCCCAACATAGGCCATTCCTGTTTAATCAACCAAGTACGGGCGTATGGAGATTTTTCGGCATCTCATACTAGGTCGGCACATAGGTATGCATCTACGACATCAGATATATACCACCAGTTGATCATGGCCGGGGTCAAGCTCCGTTACGCCGCGTCGGGATCGACTGCGGATGTATGCCGAAGGGTCCCGAGATGGCCTCCATTCTCAATATTGTTAACTCTCCAGCACCTACGGCGCAGCAGCCGTCGGGCACACCAAGCCGAACCTGCAATAGCCGGGCCCCGTTGGACGCACCACTCACACCCGCAAACTCGGGCTCACAGTCACATTTTCACCCACCCACAGGCGGCGCAACGCACAAAGTCGTCAAGGTCAAGGCAAACTCGTCCCCACACGTGTTCGGGCGTCTCCCCCGTGTCGCCCGTGCCCGTGCCAGTGTTGGCCTTGGGCGCCACTATTCCAACTGCCCCTCCCCCTCGCCCAGCAGCCCACTTCATATACGCCGACTGCCTCTCGGACAACAGCCGACGATTGAACTTTGCTTCAGTGTCTGTCGCTGGTTCTTTGCCTTCTGTTCGCCGAATCTTGTATCCATTGTTTGATCAGAGACGGAACTTCGCTTCGACTACCGCCACAATGGTCGCTACCAAGATTGACGGCACTGCCATCGCAAAGTCCATCCGTGAGCGGCTGTGTGCCGAAGTCGCGGCTAAGCAAAAGCTCAACCCCAGATACCAGCCCTGCCTCAAGATCATCCAAGGTGTGTCATGGTCACTTGTGCTACTCTCAGCCTCTTCAATTGCTTAATGCTGACTCAATTCGTCCAGTTGGTGATCGATCTGACTCTTGTTCGTGATACCCTGCCCCGCCATCACAACTTGATGATCTTCTCACTGACCCCGCCTAGCTACCTATGTTCGCATGAAGCTCAAGGCCGCCGCAGAGGTGAGTCAGACTGATGGCACTTGCGTAACTCAATTATTGACTCACTTTTAATAGGCTGGCATCGATAGCAAGTTGCTTCACTACCCAGAGTCTATCACAGAGGCTGAACTGCTGGACCACATCCGTCAGCTGAACAATGACCCCATTGTTCACGGTATCCTGGTCCAGTTGCCTCTTCCCAGTCACATCTCTGAGTACACTGTCACATCCTTTGTGGCAGATGAGAAGGATGTCGACGGTTTTGGCACCAGAAACATCGGAGAGCTTGCCAAGCGTGGTGGCAAGCCTCTCTTTGTGCCATGCACCCCCAAGGGTGTCATGATCCTGCTCAAGGAGGCCGGTGTTGACCTCAAGGGCAAGAACGCCGTTGTCCTTGGACGCAGTGACATTGTCGGAAGCCCTGTGAGCTACCTGTTGAGAAACGCCGATGCTACTGTCACTGTCTGCCACTCCAAGACAAAGAACATTGAGAACTACATCAAGGAGGCTGATGTCGTCGTGGCCGCCATTGGACAGCCTCAGTTCGTCCAGGGCAGCTGGCTGAAGCCTGGCGCTGTTGTTATTGATGTCGGAACAAACTTCCTTCCGGATTCCACAAAGAAGTCCGGATACCGACTTGTCGGTGACGTCGATTACGCCGCTGCCTCCGAGGTTGCTTCGGCCATTACCCCCGTGCCTGGTGGTGTTGGACCCATGACGGTTGCCATGCTTATGCAGAACGTTATCGATGCCACAACATGGTACTTTGAGTCCCAGAAGCTCAGGAAGACCATTCCCCTGCCCCTGAAGCTCGAGGACCCTGTTCCTTCTGATATCGCCGTTTCGCGATCTCAGACCCCCAAGCAGATTACTCGCATTGCCGCCGAGGTTGGCATTGCTCCCCACGAGCTTGAGCCCTATGGCGCGTACAAGGCCAAGGTTGATCTCAGCCTGCTCAAGAGACTCGAGCACCGAAAGAACGGTCGCTATGTCGTTGTCACCGGCATCACCCCTACGCCCCTTGGAGAGGGCAAGTCTACCACAACCATGGGTCTGGCCCAGGCCCTGGGAGCTCATGTTGGTCGGTTGACGTTTGCCAACGTGCGACAGCCCAGCCAGGGTCCTACCTTTGGTATCAAGGGAGGCGCTGCTGGAGGAGGTTACAGCCAAGTCATCCCTATGGACGAGTTCAACATGCATCTTACTGGTGATATCCACGCCATCACTGCCGCCAACAACCTCCTCGCGGCTGCTATTGAGACTCGTATCTTCCACGAGAACACCCAGAAGGACGGCCCCCTGTACCGACGACTGGTACCGGCTAAGAACGGCCAGAGGAAGTTTGCCCCTGTCATGTTCCGCCGGCTGAAGAAGCTTGGCATTGACAAGACCAACCCTGACGAGTTGACTGAGGATGAGATCCACAGATTCGCTCGTCTTGATATTGATCCCGAGACCATCACCTGGAGGCGAGTTCTCGATGTCAACGACCGTCACCTTCGTGGAGTCACGGTCGGAACTGCCCCCACTGAGAAGGGACAGACTCGGGAGACTGGCTTTGACATTACTGTTGCTAGTGAGTGCATGGCTATCCTTGCTCTCAGCAACAGCTTGGCCGAGATGCGTGAGCGCCTCGGCCGAATGGTGGTTGCCACTTCGCGAAGCGGTGACCCCGTCACTTGTGATGATATCGGTGCTGGAGGTGCTCTCACTGCCCTCATGAAGGATGCCATCAAGCCCAACCTTATGCAGACCCTCGAGGGTACTCCTGTCTTTGTCCATGCTGGTCCCTTTGCCAACATCAGCATCGGCCAGAGCTCTATCCTGGCTGACAAGCTTGCCCTCAAGCTTGCGGGTACTGAGCCTGACGAGGACTTCAGCGAGAAGTCTGGCTTCGTTGTTACTGAGGCCGGTTTCGATTTCACCATGGGTGGTGAGCGATTCTTCAACATCAAGTGCCGTACTTCTGGCCTGGTTCCTGACGTTGTCGTTGTTGTGGCCACTGTCCGAGCCCTGAAGGTTCACGGCGGCGGTCCTCCCATCGCCCCTGGCGCTGCTCTCAGCGCTGTCTACAAGGAGGAGAACGTTGACATCCTCCGTGCTGGCTGCGTGAACCTGAAGAAGCACATTGCCAACGCCAAGTCCTTTGGCATCCCTGTCGTTGTTGCCATCAACAAGTTTTCTACTGACACTGATGCCGAGATCGCTGTCATCCGGGAGGAGGCCATTGCTGCCGGCGCTGAGGACGCCATCCTGTCCAACCACTGGGCTGAGGGAGGCAAGGGTGCCGTCGACCTGGCCAACGGTGTCATTGCCGCTTCCGAGAAGCCCAAGGAGCTCAAGCTTACTTATGACCTGGAGGGCAGCGTGCAGGACCGCATCTCCGCCATCGGTCAGAAGATGTATGGTGCCGAGAAGGTCGAGTTCAGCGAGCTCGCCCAGAAGAAGGTGGACACGTACACTCGCCAAGGCTATGGAAACCTGCCCATCTGTGTTGCCAAGACCCAGTACTCTCTTTCTCACGACCCTGACCTGAAGGGTGCTCCTACCGGCTTCACGGTTCCTATCCGTGATGTCCGGATGGCTGCTGGAGCAGGATATCTGTAAGTTTCCCCTTCTCAGTCATGAATGTACTATCACTAACAAGTGTCTAGGTATGCCCTGGCTGCCGATATTCAGACCATCCCTGGTCTCCCCACGGCCCCTGGCTACCTCAACGTCGATGTCGACGTCGAGACTGGTGAGATTGACGGCCTCTTTTAGAAGATATAACTACTATACACTGGCATGAATGAACGGTATTGTACCCTCAACTCAACGTGGGATTATGGACTGGAAGGCGAACACTTTGGGACGTGGCATTTCAACACATGGTGCGGGACGGGATGGTACGGGACTGGCGAAGAAATAAACTGTGTCAATATTGGCGATACCTAAATTATAACATTTCCGCTCATTGCTTCTGTACGTGATTCTTTATGTAGTCGAGGTGAATAGGGGTTCAACCCTACAATTCGCCGGGTCCTTTCTTCTCATCATTCACAGGTTCATCTTTGTTACTGGTGTATATCCTGGTAAATTCCATTATCAGGTTTTCTCGCTATAACATATCACATGTGAATGCTATCAACTTGAAATTCCTTACCAGTCCGTTCCAATTTCCTAATGGCAAATCTCGAGTTTAGTTTCCACGTTCGTGCCCCTTTTCCGTTCCCGGCATCACGCCCCAAAAACAGACGGCAATGTTTGATACTCACTCCTTGCCGTTGACTCTTGATAGCTCTCGTCTTTACCAATTCTTCCTTTCCCCCAATGTGAATTTCCCTTCCCCTGTAACACAGTGTCTATCCCCCCTGCCCAAGCCTCTTCTCAACGACTACTCTATCGGTAATCGATAGGTCGACTTTCAGACCACCACCTTGTTCTCGCTGAGCTTCTCAAGGGCCATAGAATGTTCCTCCCGAGTTGAAACTTCTGGAACCTGAACGACATCCGTGTCCATTCGTCTGAAGAAGGCAGTGACATCTTGGGTGGGCTCATGCTCGTCCCTGACCATGTCCTTCACAAGGAGATCGATGTCTGACATCTCATCAAAGAATTGATAGACGTGCACTGGCTTCTCCTGAGGGAACTGGCGGACACATCCGATGACTTTTTCCTCCAAACCCGGCGTCCAGAACTTCTCGCAGAAGATGATTCTCGAGGCACCGGTCAGACTTAGACTGGGGCCAGCAACATGGGCATCCAGGAGGAGGACGCGGCAGCCCTCAGCTTCCATAATTTCACAAAGAAGCTTTCCTCTCCCCCCTTCATCGGCGATGCTCAATGCGTCAAGGAGCTCAACCTTTTTAGCCATATCGACAGGTCGGTTCAAATCGTCTACGTAAACCGCCCTGTATTTGAGCTTGACTGAGCCGTCGTACCGAACAATCCTAAGGTATCTGTCCCGGACGTCAATCACACGGGATATGATGTCCAGAAACAGAACCGAGGTGGAAGCCACGATGACTTTTTCGTCCTGGTGCTGCCGATGGAGCTCGGCGATCTTGGACGCGATGGCACGTACTCGAGGCGACATGTATTCATCCTCCTCCATGTAATAGACATAGTCCTGCCACTTTTTGGTCCACAAGTAGTTTGAGCGCTTTGTTCCCTTTGTTCCTTGTTTTGAGTTGTTTGAGAGGGCTTGCCGGTCGTCGTGAATGTTGCCGTAGTTCTTAAAGCCTTCGTCCTGGTAAGCAAAATCCTCAGCGGCCTTGAGATCATCGCTACAGACGGAAGACTGGCTGTCCAGGAGCTCAGGGGTAGAGAAGGTATCCCTGTCGTTTGTAGATTCGACATCGTCATGATTCAGCCCCAGTCGAAGAAAGAGATGCCACTTGTTGAAAGCGCAAGGCTGGGAATACAAATACTTCTTGAATCGAGAAAACTCATCGGCCGTCATGGAGCTCAGCTTGGCTTTCCCATCGGTAACGAGCTGTCGTTGACGAATGTCCAGCTGCTTCCAGGCGTCCTTGGGCCATGGGCCATACAGAGGCTGACCAAGGGGTAGAGAATCGCTGGAGTTGCACATCTCCATGAGCATGCCATCGTTAACAGCCTGGTCAGGTTCAAAGCAGCTGTCAAGGAAGAAGTCGAGCTTCTTCATCACATCCGTCTCAAACTCGGCAAAGGGATGAAAAACCGTCAGGTTCTCGTCTATTCCGATACTGATGGCATGGTGGCTGCAGACAGCCGGGTGGCAGGCGAGTTGTTGTGCCTTCTTGAGAATCGCTAGTCCACGGCTGACAGTCTTTGGGTCCTTGATGAGCTTCTTTCCTTCCAGCACCAGAAAGGTAATCTTCAGGTACATGAGACGATCTTGTGGCTCGGAGGGCACTGTGACTTGCATTGTACAGTCAGGAATGGGCGGAACTGAACTAGGACGGCTGACTATTTGGCCCATGAAGTAGCGTGAGAGCATGTTCCAGGTTGCAGCTGTTTGCATCGATCCGTCGCCATCGACCGAGGTTAATTGGGCCGTCTTGAAGATCTCGTCAAATTTCTCCATGTTCTGAATCGGGCTACCAGGAAGTATCATGGACTGGCCCGCCAGATCCCGCCAGGAGCTCTTCCTGAGTGTCCCAGAAATCAAGAACGCGTGGTGATACTCGAGCGAACGCACAGCAGCGTTGAGCAGAGTGCTTTCATCATGGGCGATGTGTGACTCGTCCAGGATCAAGACAGCAATATTCCGGTTGATGATCTTGTACAACTCAGAATGGAGCGGAAACTTGGGATGCACCAGCTTTTGGTGAAGAAAGCGTTGCTGTGCCACAGGCATGTCGAGGGCGTGAATCGTGTCGTAGAAGCACACGAATTCCTGGTGATCTACAAATTTCTTGACGAGAAAGGAAGTAGAGCAGATGACAACTTCAAATTGCAAAAGCTGATCACACCGGATGTTGTCGCTGTCAAGAATGATGTAAGATGGCCGATCATCCTAGAGTATGATTAGCACCATAAAATCCGTTACGGACGGAAAGCAATCATACCTTCTTGAAGTGCTTCTTGATTTCGGAACACCATGGGTGAACACCCTCAGCAGGGCAAACAACGAGGACAAAGCCACAGCGTGGCAGCATCTGCTTCCGCTTGATCAGAGCAGCTGTCAGTGCCGTGAGAGACTTGCCCATGCCGGCTTCATCGCAAAGCAAGGCTCCCTTGAACATGGACTCGGTTGATTGCAGAAGTTTGGTGACACCGACGGCCTGCCATGGTTTGAGCTCGGTCTGGAGACGGGGTAGAATCGTGGGCCCAGTGTCGGAGGCAGTGAGATGGTTCTACACAGGGGGTAAGTTCATTAGCACTGGGGTCTGGGTAACCGCTCAACTGGAAAGTAATACGTACAAGGGCTTGGAGAAACTCTGGAGACTTCAGGAGGTCAAGGAAATGCACTGATGTCTCGCCAATTCCGACCATCATCGGCTGGGGGTTGTCAGATTTGCGGGTCACCAAGTGCTGCAGCTGAAAGCAGTCGTCTGTGGCTCCCTCAGCCTCGTTGGAGCTAGCAGCAGTCTCACTCTGGCCTCCCCTCCCCTCTCGCTCGTTGCGTCGGTTCTGCGCGGCCCTGGCGTTTTCGGCCTCGATATCAAACATGTATCTACCAGGTTCCCAAGGGGGAACCTGCTCCTCCTCGAGTTTGCGACGGGAAGAAGGCATGCTGACCCTGTTGTGACGGTTGATGATGTAAGATTCCATGGAAGAGGCTGCCTGTGAATGCGAAGAGGGCAGTTAGGGTGCGTGAGCTGGGTTCCAGTGGAAGAATGGCCTTGGTGTTGTTGAGCTGGGAAGAGGTGGACAGAAACAGGCACTCGCTCTGATGATATCTTTTCACGGAGGAAAATGATTGATTCCTGCAGTGAAATATGAGCGTGACGAGATTGAAGAGAGAAGTGCGAGAAGATGTTGGGGGATGAAAGTAGAGGAGGGAAGAAGGAGAGAGGAAGGAGAGACGGGAGGAAGGAGAGAGGAAGGAGAGAGGATGATGTTTGAGTAGCAAACGACTACCTTAGGTAAGGTAGTCGTTTGCTCCAGCAGTGACAATGAATCACGGTCGAATCCCCGTACCTACCTAGTCCATAAAGGTACCTACCTGTGGGTGTTTGCCTGTTTTTACTAATATTTTAAATGGACAGAGAAGCATCGCATCACCCTGCACGTAAATTATATGAAGAGTAAGGCATTGCACCACTTATCGCCATCCCCCCCCCCCCCTTTCAAGCAATGAGCCTCGTGGATCATCCACAAGGCAGCTCTCCATTCTTAATACCAACCAAAGGTAATTAGGCACGTAGATAAATGCAAAAACTCCGAGTTAACCCAGTAAATAGCAAGAATCTGCCCTCACATAGAGCCCACGTGGACCAGCCACAAATCAACTATAACCCCTACTACCTGCACAGTGAACGATGGACAGTTTTTAAATTGTCATTCTTTGCAATCTGGATTCCATTAGCTGGTTCTAAATAGCAGGTGCCTTTGAATTCGAGCTTCAGCAAGCAGATTGACCCATCAACCATCACCAACCCTTCAAACCTCACTGCTTCCAATCCACTCTGCTCGCCCATTCCAGTTCCTTATCCAGGTCCTGACTCCAAGGAATATCGCGCTCCTTCTCGAGAACCAGTCGCATGTATCGAATAAGTGCGACATCTTTTCTGCCCAGGTTTGACGGAAGCCCCACGGTAAAGGACGGACCAAGGAAGTCCTCGCCGTGCTTCTTCTCCACGTAGTCCCTGACAGCCTCACAAGCAGCCTCCCTGGCGCAATCTTCTTTCCCTGAGCCGAGAGCATGGTAGAGGTCACAGACTTTGTCTGCAAGCTTCAACAAATTGGCATGGAGTCCAGGTAGCGTTGGCTGAGCTTCCATGGCGTCAGATTCATGGTCAGCCTCTGTCGCAAGCTTTTCGACCACATCGGTTGCCACGACATAAACTGCTGCTTGCAGGACTTCTTCAAAACTCTCATCATTGTCGTCCATTGGATTGAGAACTCTGTAAACCAACTCAAAAGCGGACTTGAGAACCAGCCGCTTCACCTGCCCCAGAGCTGTCACGATAGCCTCCTGGTTCTGGGTACCAAGGACAACATTGGCCAGTTGAACCACTGTGTGTAGCTGCCTGGGGAGACCTCCATGGGAAAGCACCCGCCTACCACCCTCCATCCAGGCCAGTAAATGCTGTACGCGTGTATCATTATCCCGTATCAGGGTCTCAAAGAGAGCAACACCGGGGTTTGCGACGGCTGCCTGTGTCAATGGACGCACAGTCATGGTGTCTGGTGCGCTTCCTCGAGTAATCCTGATTGCTGATTTAATCAGGTTGCCGTGATATTCTGCCTCGCCTGCGTCAGCGATGTGCGAGTTGGAAAACATGGTGCAAAACGAGACGATGACGCCAAGGTATAGAGACTCGTGGATGACAGTCCCTGATGCCAAGATCGCACAAAGGCCCCTGGTCAGCTCAATGACAGTGCTGATGTTGATTATGTCTTCCCCAACCACCTCAAACTGGCGTGGCCAGAGTTCCTAAGACGCGCGTGTTAGCAGTCTCTCCCGCCCTTGTGCGATAGCCGACGACGAACCTTGAACGCACAGACAACACTGTCTGCTTGAGCACTATCGAGAACCCCTTTTCCTTCCATCATGTTGCGGATGACGTCCATGCTAGCCTCTCCGGGAGTCGACAAGCTCTCGAGATGAGTCTGTTCCGATAGTCTGAAGCGGTCTATCACCTGTTGGAGGTAGGTCTTGCTCGAGAAAGTCTTGTATGCTGAAACAACCGTGCTGATGAAAGAAACCACCCTCTCCGATGTGGAACTCTCGTAGTTCTGGTCATGGTTGCCCTGGCCAGCCAGAGGAGATGACTGAGTCTGTTGAGGAGGCTCCTCCTGTGCCTCTCCTCGAAACTCGGAACAAAAGGCATTGACGTTGTGCCTGATGGCCTGTTTGCGATGGCACCGTCGTGTACCTGTCACGCCATGGGTCCATTCCTAGTAGTAAACCACTCTGTCGTCGCAGGTCTCCCGTCCAGGCAAGGGGGTGGCTTCACATAAGCCATCATGCCTCTTGCTGTGCAAAAGATGCAGCGTGCACCTCTGTTGGCCAATGATGCCCACAACTAAACGAGTCGGCGGCCAAGTCTCAATAAGAGTATGGGCGTTAGGGTCAAAGCTATGTAGAGATATAGGTTTGGAAAACTGCTTGTGGTCGGATATGTCATGTGGTAAAAGCTCGCCAACGATGACAGCCAACAAGCCGCTGAAATGTAAGTTAGTGACAGAACACAACTCAAAGACGTGGTACGCACTGTTCTACACCTTCAATGTCATCTTCTTTGGGGCTGATGACAAGGCCAGCGTCGGTTGTGTCTTTGAGACTGAGAATATCCTTGGCTTTCCTACTGTCGTGAGCCCTGCGGATTCGAATGACTCGCCTCTTTGGTCTGTCAACTTTGCCTGTGTCGTAGGCCCAACCTTGGGCGCAAAATGCGATGTCGCGATTTTCGGCCATGGCGCGATATCACGTACCGTGCTTGTAGATCAAGCACAGCGGATGAAGGAGTTTGAGGACGAGCGATGAGGTGAGATGACGAGATGCTGTGTGGGGAGAGAAAGGATGAAGAGGCAAGGGATGATAGGAGAAGATGAAGAGAAATGCGAGCGAGGAAGCGCGTCTTAATATCGAGTTGGGCCCTAAGCCATAAGACTTAGGGGCTTGGTTACATGACCATGATTCAGAGTCGTTGGTTTTCGGGAAGTCCACTCAAAACAAAGCGTCTGTTGTTTTGATGAGTGTTTCCCTTGTCTAGTGATGCTAACTTCCACCTTAGGAAAAGAGCCTCTACTACAACTAAGCGGAGAATGCAAGACCATGACTAGTCATTGAGTTTGAAAAAGAAGGTAGAGTCTCATTTCGTTATTTCTGATGAGGTACTCATTGGAGGATAAAGATGTAGGGTATGAGGAGAGAGGTGGCGAGCCGTTCAGCGCTGATCCAAGCGACAGTCGTTCAATAGTTATCTATTCAATGGAGCGGAGGGGGAAAATGAAATAAGAAAGTCAATTGGTGTAGTTGAGGAGTTAAAAATCTAGAGAAGCTACCAAAATGAAGGCATGGCTTCGTTATTTTGGGCTCTAAAGAACACCACAACTGTCCAGTATCCGAATCTCGAGATAGAACTACCAGAGGGTCGCAAGACCACGGGGCTTTAAAAGAGGAAAGAAGAATTTTACCGAGTGAATCAACGTTCAGTTATGTATAGGAGGCTATAACGGAGGCAGTGCAGACAAGAGCTGACCTTCACCAACATGAAGACAACTTAAATCAGTCCGGGAAGAATAGGGAGTCTGACTCGAAGACATTGAACAACAAGTAGAACTAAAAGGCTACTTGGCTATTTAATCTTAGTTATTTCTGCCAACCGCCAAAGATCAGCGTCCTGGAAATATTGGTAGGTTGAAGCATCGCGGTCTCTAAGTGGGAGGGGGGAGAAGGGGAGGAGCTACGGGGGATGCACACGGATACCCAAAACGATCTGCCTAATCAGTGTACGATCATTCGCACAGCTTGACCGGTTTTTTGGGCCAAGGGAATGTCTTGTCTCCAGAGACGCTGTGTGTGTGGGCATGGTTGGGAAAGGGGGTCAACACTTGGAGCAGAAGCCAGAAGACCCTGCAGTGGCACAGCCAGATGGAAGTAAACCCACATTTCAGGCATCACATTTCGATTCAAGTTACCCAATTGCTCATCAAGAAGCATGATCCTTTTAGTAATGACTTACACTTCCTTTGCAGTCGGTTAGAACGGTTGCCTTCAGCTTGGCATGAAGGATCTTAATCATCCAAGAGTCACCCAGGCTGTACCCAGCAAGGTATCAAGTATCTCCAAGGTCACTGGGATATCCTGTGGGTAGTACTGCCGGTTGAAAGACCGTCGACAACACATCACATCGTGGGCCCCCGGGGTGGGAGGGACCATGGACGGATGAAGCAGGAGGATGGAGTCGAAGAAAGTGACAGAATCAAGGAGTTTCGGACCGCTGACCAAGAAGAGAAGTAACGGTACCTCTGAATAATGTTCTCAACATCTCTGGCGCTTCATCTTGGGCCATGGGCTGGTTGGCGGATGAGTTCCGGGGTGAAGGGGCGGGTGTAAGCAAGAAAGAATCAAACCAACACACCCCCGTGGAGTCTAAAACCAGATCCTTTCCAGTGCGGTTGATACTCATCCCGCCATCCCACGCTTGATATGAAGGTATCGGACAGAGAAGCCCGCGGGACCCGTGGAGGGGAGATGCGAGTTTCGTCTAGTCCAGCTGGCAAGGACCAAGAACCATCCAAGTGATGCCCAGTCCCCCTCGAGGCTTAGATCTCAGCACGAATGGTCCGACTCGGCGTTGATCAAGCTTGGAAAACAAAGGGACCCCTCGATATATCCACCAAACTTTACCATGAGACAAGAAAAGTGTGGAGCTGGGGGAGGCGCCGGGCATCAAAGCCTCTTCCGGGACAAGGGTGATGGAACTGGGGGCAGAAAGTAGCATCTTGCCACGCGAGACTCGTCACTGCGGCCGCGAGAGGCAAAAAGAAGAAAACCCCTCAATGAAACAGCGCAAGAGTGACCGCAAAACCGGGTGTTATCACGATGCCGAGGATGAGGCCTGTAGACGACGTTGACGTCGAGAGACGGGATCGGGGGCTAGCGTCATGCAAGTTTCGTATAGCACTACCCTGGTCTCTTTGGGGAATGGTGATTGATCGAGAGTGACGGATGAGGTAGTGAGGCTCAAGGGTGAAGCCATCAACTCGCTTGGATCGTCTGGGGGTTGGATGGTTCATGGTGGAGATGGACCTTGTGGGGGGAGTGGGGCATGAAGACATAAATAGGGGGACTGTCAGTTAGTGCCAAAGTGTGTAGAGTGGTTCGTTATTTCTGTCTATAGCTATACGAAAGGTGCATAACTAGCGCGTCCGGGCCCCGGGGTCCATCAGATTCTCGCAGACGCACAGGCATCGAAGCGAAAAAAGAGCGTCGAGAACTTCAGCTGGAGTCTTGATGTTGAATTCATGGGTGTGCAATTGTTTGTTGAGTGTTTAGATGGGTAATGTATAAGGGGAAACTTGTGTATGTCAAGGCTTAGACAAACATGATGTGTTTTTACATGTCGTGCACTTGACAACTAGGAAAGAGAGCTGTTGCTGTTGTCAAGCAACTGCCCTGTCAGGCTGTCAGAGCTGTGCCATGATAGGCTGAATCCCCTGGGAAATTGGCCCTTGTCACCCGGACCCCAGGAGAAAAACTTCCCGCGCCCGAGAAACTCCATCCAATGCAAATCAACAATGATTGAATTTGGTCTGGGGCGCCAATAGCACAACACGTTTTCTTATTCGGATTCATTCCCCATCGTCACACGCCCCTCCCCTGTCCATTGTTTTTTTTTCCTCTTTCCCCCTTGATCTTGTTCTGGTTGTATCTTTCACTCCATGAGGTGTTGTTTTTTTGCGTTGCTGTTGTTCATCATCACCATCATCTAGACATTCTCTAGAGTCTAGACGACAGGTCCTGACACTAATTCAAGGCTCACCTCCATCGGGAGACGCCCGTCACCGCTCGCTCTCTACCCTCCCCCCCTGTTGTTGAGAGAGGCGCATCCAGTCCGCATCCAGTGCCTCGTTGCGCTTCGCTGGCCCTTGTCCACTCTTTTTTTCTCCTCGCAGCACCAGCAGACGCGCACCCAGCGAGTCGCATTGTCTAGTTGCTGCTTGGCTTGACGAAGTGTCTCGCATCCCACGGCTCTGAGACGCCCGCCATTGTCCTCGGCAGTCCCGTCTCTCTCAGACCGCCGTCCTTGTCAATCCCCTCTTCTTGACCTCGTGCGCGCATATAAAGGCTCCTTTGAGCCCCCTCGACGAAGATGTCTTCAAGATACTCTCTACGCCAAACCCCCAGGTTCGTACAAACCCCATTGACACTTCTACCATACTCTTCTCGACCCAATTGGCCCTCCTGGACAGGTTCATAACCTCGTCGAGCCTTTGCCACTCCCCCACAACATATGCCTCTCCATCATGCCACGCAGTGACTGACCCGGGCTCAGGAAGAAAGAACTCTTCGAGGGCATGGTAGAGACCCCTTCTCGACGCCGCTCAACACGCCGACAGACTTCCCAGCCTCTTGAGACTTCAGACGCCGACAACGACTCCGGCTCAAACGCTGAAAACGCCCCCCGCGCTGCCCCAATTCGTCGACGTACCACCAAGTTTGTTGAGAACCTCGACGAGGACGACGTGCAAAAGCCGGACGACATGGGCGCCGTTAACCGCAACGGCCATGCTAATGGCAATGGCAAGGCCAACGGCATCGATCACACCAATGGTGTCCTTGCCCCTGTCACCAGCGTCCTTGACAAGACTGAGGGTGTTCCTCAGGATCCTCATGTCGTCGACGGCTGGAGGCCAGGCCAGGACCCCAAGGTCGACTACTCAGGCGAGTTCGAGTTTGGAGGCTCATTCGGCACCCTCGCCATGATGACTTGTTTCCCTATCCTCATGTGGTACATGTGGATTGGCGCAACTTACTATGATGGCAAATTCCCCTCTCGCGCGGCCGGTCAGTCCTGGGCCGACTTTGGTGCTCATCTTGTCAACCTCGTTTACACGGGTGCCTATCCTCGCCTTCAGGTCTGGGCCTGGTACTGGTCCTACCTCATCGTCGAAGGTACTCTCTACTGCGTCCTCCCTGGTGTCTGGGGCTATGGCAAGCCTCTCCCCCATGAGGGAGGCAAGCAGCTTCGCTACTACTGCAATGCCTACTTCAGTCTATACACGACCCTCGCCATCCTTGCCGCTCTTCACTTCTCGGGTGCCTGGCCTCTCTACACGGCCATTGATGAGTTCGGTCCTATCCTGTCCGTCGCCATCCTGAGCGGTTTCCTCGTCAGCTTTGTCGCCTACTTCTCCGCCCTCTGGCGCGGTAAGCAGCACCGTATGACCGGTTACCCCATCTACGACTTCTTCATGGGCGCTGAGCTTAACCCCCGTATGTTTGGCATCCTCGACTTCAAGATGTTCTTTGAGGTTCGCATGCCCTGGTACATCCTCCTCATCCTGAGTCTCGGTGCCGCCGCTCGCCAGCACGAGCAGTACGGTTACGTCTCTGGTGAGGTTTGGTTCCTCGTCATGGCTCACTTCCTCTACGCCAACGCCTGTGCCAAGGGAGAGGAGCTCATCATCACCACCTGGTAAGTACACCATGATGCTCCAGCCACAAGACTCTCACTAACTCGACTCAGGGACATGTATTATGAGAAGTGGGGTTTCATGCTCATCTTCTGGAACCTTGCTGGTGTCCCTCTCTCTTACTGCCACTGCACCATCTACCTCGCCAACCACCACCCTGACGTCTACCGCTGGAACCGCGGCATCCTCGCCGCCATGTTCGTTGGCTACCTCTTCTGGTACTGGGTCTGGGACAGCTGCAACAGCCAGAAGAACCGCTTCCGTGCCATGGAGAAGGGCAAGGTTGTCTGGCGCAAGACCTTCCCCCAGGTCCCCTGGCAGACCATCCACAACCCCAAGACCATCACCACCCCTCAGGGCACCATCCTCGTCGACGGATGGTACGGACTTGCCCGCAAGATCCACTACACGGCCGACGTCTGGTTCGCCGTCTCTTGGGGTCTCATCACCGGCTTCGAGAGCCCCTTCCCCTGGTTCTACCCCGTCTTCTTCGTCTGCATGATTGCTCACCGCGCTGCGCGTGACATTACCCGCTGCCGTCGCAAGTATGGTGAGGCCTGGCTTGAGTATGAGCGACGTGTGCCCTACCTCTTTATTCCCGTGAGTTTCATCATCCCTCGTTTGTAGCCATCACTAACAAAACTCCCAGTACGTCATTTAAGGGAATGTCATGGGCAGAACGAGTATTTAGCTCAATTCTACCTTTTCATAGGGCCCTGTGCCCTATTCTATTCCGTACATAACGACCCTAGATGTTGAGGACGGTGTTGGGTCGATTTGGATTGTGCGACGCGAAAAAGAAGGGGCATGATAGAACGGGTTGAGAACAATACGTCCAGAATACAGGGACGTGTCATGACACAAAAAAAAAGCCATCCATCTACGTTGACGTAAAAGAGACGGGATGGGCATGTTGAGGCTGCTTAGAAATATTGTAATGAAGAATACTTGCTTGTATTGTATAAAGAGTTATGTTAGCCTGCTTTGAAGCAGTAGATTAATACGATAAAGAGGTTATTAAAGAATTGTCTGGTTTTACAGCATTGGGTTTTGATGCTATCATGTGTTTATTGGTGTTCTTTAATCTTGTGTACGACCAAAACGTCATTGAAAAGGAAGAAAAAAGCTGCTGTCGGAAGGAAAAGGTGATTTAGACATGACTTAACTAGGTGCTTATTGGATCTATCATATAACATACTCTAAGGATTAGGAGAATAATGAGAAGAGACCAGAAGAGTTCCTCTTTCATTTAGATCATATTATCCTAACATGATCAAAAACATACTCATGAGGATTTATTGAGCATAGTCAACCTTGGTGTCATTACGGCCCCAGTGTCACAACAGCGTGTGTTCAGTTCAGGCACTGACACGTCCGTCTTCATCCAGAAGGGGATATCGTCAAGGCCAGTAGAAAATAAGGCGAAACGTGGAACAAAACAATTAGCGGCAGCGTACATAGATACTTGAGTCCCTTCAGCGTCTATAATGAGAAGCCACCCAGAGAATAACACGCATGTTGACACTATTTTACAGAAACCCTCCGATTCGTCGCGTCCCATCCATCCCCAACCAACAAAAATATATCAGTAGCTCGAGTTCAATTATCCGATTTATGCGCAAGGGGGGCGGAAATATCAATCACCATGCCCAAGCCTGCGCCCACGTCCCAAATCTCCCGTCGTGTTTCCTGCTAGAAGACCGACGGAGAAAACTGTAACGCCGTTTGTCTTGTGTAGTCAAGACATGATAGAGAGAGCAGCTCGTGTGGTTGAGGAGTTGTCAAGCTGTCTTCCAAACACGTCGCGTCGCCGTGTCGAATTTAGCAGGTAGCCTCGACGTTGGCCTTGGAGTTCATGAGCAGGGCGACAATCAGACCGTAAAGACCTAAGTGGATTGGTTAGCGGGTAATACGTAATGTGACAATGTTTCAGAAACATACCCAGGACTTCGGCGAAAATCAGAATCAGAATCATGCCGACGAAGAGACGGGGTTGCTGAGCAGTTCCTCGGACACCAGCATCACCAACAATACCAATAGCGAAACCAGCGGCAAGACCAGCAAGACCGACGGACAGACCAGCACCGAACTGAATGAAGCTAGTGTAAAGGGGCAGGTGCTGCTTCAGACCATCCGAGATAAGAACCGAGACGACGAGACCGTAGATACCGATGATACCAGCCATAATGACGGGGACAATGTCTATAAAGGTCAGTACCGAGATGGCGATCGATGGCTTCGGGGTCGCGTACTCTTGACGATAAGATCGGGTCGGAGGACACCCATGGCAGCGATACCGACACCAGACTTGGCGGTACCGTAGGAGGCACCGAGACAGGTGAAGACGATGGCGCAGGTGCAGCCCATAGCACCGAAGAAGGGCTAGAGATGGTTAGCTATGTTGAGCTCGATGTCGGATCGATATCGTGGACGCCCTGGAAGCCAGGCGAGGCATCACGGGTGACGTCGGAGAACGGATGACGTGGAGGACTAACCGAGTAAACGGGGCTGCGTGAACGCGCATGTTAGCTTCAATCATCAACAAGAAGAAGGTAGAGGGTCGTGTCAATGGAATTCGACCGTGTTGGGAGATGCCTGAAGCTCCGGACGATGCCCAGGGAGCTCCTCGGCGGTGATGACGGGGGCAAGGAGGCGCGCAACCAAACACTACGTACCAGTATTCGGAAACCATTTTGGCGGTGTTGTGTTTTGTGGTTTACGTTGAACGAAGCAAACTGTCGGCAGAATCGAAGAGGGAAATGCGACGAGATCGACGGGCTGATGAGCTGTTGACGGTCGTTGGATGACGAAGGTGCGATGCGATGTTGCTTGCTTGTTAAGGTCTCAACCAAGGAAGGCAGGCGCGGCAAGGTTTTGCTGTACACTGCTGCTGAGGGAGAGAGCACGGGGGTGCCTTACATAAGCTGACACGGGGCGCCTTGTTTCGGATTAAAGATGGACCCGAAGGTCAAAGCCACAGCAATCTGTGGTTGGCCGATCTCAAGAGTGTGGATCCCGCGCAGGAACTGCAAGCCACACTCTGGCGCAAGGCTTCAAATTTTCTGGGGGCCTTGGCGCATTTTTTGGTGGCTCTTTTTTTTTCTTTCCCTCCGACTTTGTTCGACATCAACACTTTCGTCTCAATCTTCTAGCTATAGTCCTCAGGGCGAGCCAACGCAAGGAACCCTGATCTTTGACACCATCTTGTTAGTTTATTCCCCTTTGTTCCCCTTTATCTCGCGGCACCGCTTCCAGAGGAACCAGCTGCTAACCCGCGCTTTATCAGATACTCTTCCTCTCACGAAAACCTCGACCTACTCTTTCACCATGTCTGAGAGTGCTGGTATGGATATTCTATCTACAGGTCTATCTCCAGAGACTAACCTTTCGCCAGCCTGGCCCCTGGCCGACCAGAAGCTCGAGCAGGAGCTCCTCGACCTCGTCCAGTCTTCCCAGCGTACGTTCCCTCGACACCGACTAAGCGAAAACCAGTACTGACATGTTGCGCAGATGCCCGTCAGCTCAAGAAGGGTGCCAACGAGGCCACCAAGACCCTGAACCGTGGTGTCTCTGAGATTGTCATCCTCGCTGCCGATACTCAGCCCCTCGCTATTCTCCTCCACCTCCCTCTCCTTTGCGAGGATAAGAACGGTGAGTGCAATTGGATAGATTGCGATCCAGACAGGTTACTAACGACATCTTAACAGTCCCCTACGTCTACGTCAGCAGCAAGATGCACCTTGGCCGTGCCTGCGGTGTCAGCCGTGCTGTCATCGCCGCCAGCATCACCAGCAACGACGCGAGCGAGCTTGCTGGCCAGATCCGAGCCATGCGTGACAAGGTCGAGCGCCTCGCCATCTAAGATACCCACCGAACGAGGAAAGAAAAAGATGGAATACTTCGTCGATGAGGGCCCTGTCGGCTTGTTGGTTGGATGTGGTTAATGTTTGACAAGGCGGGCCGTCGGGGTGGTTGAATTGGTGTTGGATGGACTACCGAGGCTGCAGACAGTAATATCAGCAACTCTCATGACGAAGCCAATAAGTTCATGCAAGGACTTGACGATGGATGTCCACTCTAATGCACAGACAAGGACGCTCATGACAATTCGAGGTGAAGGCAAATACGAAAACGAGGCCAAGTGGATGTAGCTCCCATTCTCCAATTGCCAAATGCGAATGCGACGTCGGAGTTTGGTGTGCGTGGGCCGCTTAGTGGACAGCGTTGTTCGAGCTTCTCCACTGATGCGGTCATTAGGCGCCGCAGTCGCTTGCTTTTTTATGAACTGGTGATCGATTGAGCTGCAGCTCAGCTCAGCTCAGCTCAGCTTGGATGGTCCTGGTCTCTCCTATGCTCCTTCTACTGTGACCACTTTGGATTGAGACTCAACTTCTCTCCTACTCATGCATATATTCAGCTGTTGACAGTGAACGACACGGGCTCCCCGCGCACAATGCCAGCCATCGCTCGCAAGATTCTCATCTGCGCAGCGATCGACGGGCTCATCATCCAACCTCTCTCCTCCAAAGGCCAGCGGCCCTTCCAGCCCGTCCGCATCAAGTATGGCGATGCCACCGTCTCGCACGTCGCACGCGAGCATATCCCCGACGCTTCCAAGCCCGAGTCTTCTTTCGAGGCATTTGGCGTCATTGGTATGCCATTGTGGCCCCGCGCGCTTACAGCCCTAGATGTATGACATGGCTGACGTCGATTACCCTTTCCAGGTCTCATCACTGTCTCCAAGTTGAGTTATCTCATCACAATTACCCGCCGTCAGCAGGTCGCCCAGATCTGCGGTCATCCAATCTACGTTGTGACCGAAGTAGCCGTTACACCATGCACCTCCAAGACGGGCGCCGACGAGTCCATTCGAAGGACGTCCAGTCACCTATCACGACAGGCTCGCGATTCTGGTGATGAGAGCGATAGCAGTGAGGAAGAAGTCGAGCTTCCCTCGCGCACATCGGACGAAGTCGAAGACGCTGTCATTGAGGATGGGGATGCTAGGCCAGACTCTGCCAGGAGCCGTGTCGCCGAGGACGTCATCCGCAGGAGGGGCAGTTATGGGCGTTTCGCCCAGCGATGGTTCAGCCGTAGCGGTTGGACCATGGATCAGAAGAGGATTATGGGATTGAGCAACTCAGCGAGCGTTCCGGAAATGGCCATCGTCGACACTTCACCAAGCAAGACGCCAGATGAAGAACCCACGAAAGGTCGCCTCAGTGAGCCAGAGCTTCTCCCAAAGCTGTTAAAGACTGTTCAAGTCCTTTTTGGTTCATCACGGAGTTTCTACTTCTCGTACGACTTTGATCTTACGCGTTCACTCGCCAAGAGATCCGTGTCACCCAGCAATGGCACGCCCCTTCATGCCCAGGTGGACGACGTCTTCTTCTGGAACCGAAACCTCTTACAGCCCTTTATCTCTTCTGGGCACGATTCCTTGGCTCTACCTCTGATGCAAGGCTTCATTGGACAGAGAACCTTTGTCGTTGATGGTCAACCTCCGCAAATGGACGACACGGGCAAGGACTCCGTCGAGCTGTCCAACCTCACGCCGTCAAAGTCCCAAGCGGATACTCCTCCACTTGAGAGCTCCAGAGCCTCAATTGACCTCCGTTCATCGGAAAGGAGATATCTCATCACCTTGATATCACGCAGGTCTACGAAGCGAGCTGGTCTGAGATATCTCCGCCGCGGTATAGATCAAGACGGTTTCGTCGCAAACATGGTTGAGACAGAGCAGCTTCTATCCTCGCCTGCATGGGACGCATCCTCAAAAGTCTACTCGTTCATGCAAATCAGGGGCAGCATTCCTCTTTTCTTCACACAGTCCCCATACTCTTTCAAGCCAGTGCCCATTCAGCAGCACTCCGAGGAGGCAAATCGTGTCGCTTGCCACAAGCACTTTGAGAGCCTTTCTCGAAATTATGGGCAGTTGCAAGTGGTCAATCTTGTAGAAAAGCATGGTGTCGAGGCTTCAATTGGCTCGGCTTACCAGAAGAGTGTCGAAGAGCTCAACAAAGAAGCAGGCGAGGGCAAGACGATACCCTTTGAATGGTTCGACTTCCATGCGGCCTGTAGGGGCATGAAGTTTGAAAACGTGAGCATCTTGCTCCTACAGTTAAGGCAAAAGATTGAGAGCTTCGGAAGCACCGTCCAGAAAGAGGGTGAGCAGTTGATCCAGCAGAAGGGCGTCCTCCGAACCAACTGCATGGACTGCCTCGACCGGACCAACGTCTGTCAGAGCTCATTTGGGAAGCACATGCTCGAGGTCCAGCTCAAGGAGGAGGGTTTCGACATGAGCGCGCAGGTGGACCAGGAGACAGCCTGGTTCAACACCCTGTGGGCGGATAACGGTGATGCGGTGTCTAAGCAGTACGCGTCGACGGCTGCCATGAAGGGTGATTATACGAGAACACGAAAGAGAGATTATCGAGGTGCTTTGAACGACTTGGGTCTCTCTCTTGCTAGATTCTACAGCGGGTATGTTGATAATCCCCTGACGGCTCATCGAGTTGCTAACCAAACAGAATGGTCAATGACTACTTTAGCCAGGCAGCGATAGACTTCCTCCTCGGCAACGTCACGGCCAAAATCTTTGAGGAGTTTGAAAGCGACATGATGACCAAGGATCCTGCCGTGTCGGTAGTCAGGATGAGACAACTGGCGGTTGAGCTGTGCCAGAAGAGAGTGATAGCAGACGAGAAGGAAGAGTTTCACGGGGGATGGGTACTCCTCAGCCCCAACGCGCCTGATACCATCAAGGCCTTGCCATTGGAGGAAGTTGTCCTCTTGTTGACGGATGCCGCCCTCTACCTTTGCCGCTTCGACTGGAAGTCGGACAAGGTGTCCTCGTTTGAGCGCGTCGAGCTCGGCAACATCACGGGCATCAAATACGGCACATACATCACCTCGACCATCTCTCTTTCTCACATCGACGAGACCAAGAACGCCGGCTTTGTGGTGTCTTACAACCCAGGCAAGAGTGATTTTCGACGCACTAACACCCGAACCTTTTCAAGCCGTGGCGACATGGCCGGCAAGGAGAACCCCTCTGCGCAGAAGGATGCCAGCATCCCAGCCAGTTTGGCCAACCTGCTCTCTAGCAAACCGTCGTCGGCATCCAGCCTGCGCCAGCTTGTCTTCAAGGCAACATATGTAGACTCTTCCGTAGCCGTCCTCGGAAACGATGGCCCACGGCAGACCGAAACACAGCAGGTTTCCACCATCTGCGAAGAGATTGAGCGATTGGCGCTGGAACGACAACTAGAGCGCCCAGGGGAAGAGCGCAAGAGCCTGGTCCAGTCCGGGGACATTATCTCTTTGGAAGAGGCGAAAAAGAACACCGGGTTGCTAGAGCAGCTGGGGCACTCGCTCAAGAAGATGGTATGGGCATGAAAAAGATTCCCATCTAGAAACGACATAGACGACAGACCTTAGATACCATGAAGTTTTTTGCAGTATAATAATAGGATTGTTTCAAGACGACTTTTCCAGACGGTACAGGTGTATCTGGTACCGCATATTCTCGAGGGGAATTGGATATGACAAGCCTTCTGGGAGTCGAAACCAGATGGAATCATCAGACTGCAGCTTTTCCCAGGAGTAACCCGGTGTCTCGGTCTCAAGGAGAGTGTGGTCGAGCAGCCATTGCATAGGGTACCGCTTCTTCTCTTTGCCCAGGGCAGCTTCTGAGTAGCTTCCAGGACTGTCCACCACGAGAACCAAGCTCCCCGGCGCGAGGGCTTGTCCGAGGTTCTTGAGGAGCTTGGTCGTCTTCCCAATGCCTCCGCTGGTATACAGCTCGTTGAGGGTAAACAACAGCGTCACCACGATGGGTACCTTGCCACCAGCGCACTGAGCTGTCAATGCATCGGCATCAAGAGCCAAGACATCCTGCTGTACGACCTCGACAGAAAGCTGGCCCGGCTCAAGAAGCGCGCGGTTCGCTGCGCGCGCGGCCGCCGACGCATACTTTGAGATGGGGGGCGGGGAGTTTGTGCTCGACTCGAGAGAAGAGATGACGCTGGCCCAGGGAGCCGAGTCAAGGAGCGTCAGATGACCATTGCTCGAGGTGGATTGGAGGTAGGATGCAAAAGCGAGGTGCTCGGCTGCGCATCCTCCAATTGAGAGCATTCGCAGAGTGCTTCGTGGTTGAGACCTTTCGGGTTTGGGAGCATCTGGTCCTGTTTCAGCAGATGCCTCACCAGGTTCTATATCTTGTTCCAGAGCATTAGAATCCTTGGTCAAACCCGCTTGGGTACTCAATTCCAGATTCTTTCCACTGAAACTCCCCTCTTCAGAAGCTAGAACCCCATCCAGATGTTCCTTGATGCCGAGGAAAACAGTGGTATAGCATAATGTCCGTGTAGGACTCCATCTCGCCGCATACGCCTCGAGATAATCCTCCCTCCCAAAAGCAGTAGCAAAGTCGCGATTGAACAGAGCCTGCTTCACCTCCTGCAGCAGACCTGCAAAGTCATCTGACGTGAGGGTCGAATTGAAGGCATTGGAAAAGACGTCGAGCAGACGCTGCTGCTCGGCTTGGCTCTGCAGAGGTGGTGGTGAAGAAGCTTCCTGATTTTGCGCCGGGGCGGCCGACTTCTTGTTGCTCTGCTTTGAAGGTGCAGCCTTTCTGGAGGGGCCCGTCTTCTTGACCATTTCACTCTAGTCTAGCTTGGTCAGCCAAGACGTGTGTATCGGCGAGCTCGGAGTTCCAAAAGAGTTGATTGTCGTCGTCGTCTCGTCTGGTGGTGGTTTGTAAATTCCATTGGAAAATAGAGTGGGGTATCCGTACAATCGGTGAAACCCCCACTCCGGCCGAAAGCTTCCTACCCGGCCAATCTCTCGGTGAAGACGTCGGACGTGTCATGACTTGTCGCCATATAAGTCAGCAGCTCGCAGGCATGATAACCAAGATTCGTCTCCTGAGTGTGGCATCACGCCTAGGTTGGTGTTATTCACCGACAGGCGGCCGCCGCCCAGGTTTGCTAAGGTTTTGGGGCAGACCGGGCGGATACATATCATATCATTCATCAGCCGTTACTGCATTCTTGATAACCGCTTACACAGTCCATCCTTTACCGTCTTTGGGCTGGGGCATTGCATTTCCGCCGACGTGCCCGAGTGCAACCACACACCTGGTTGGATGTTCAAGCATCAAGGTGCTAGGCATTGCTAGCGAGCACACCTTGACGAGCGCAGCCACATCTCCGTCTTTGCTCCATCACACTCGGCCCTCCTCTCCGACTATCGCTCCTTCGACCTGCTCCTCCCTATGTGTACTTCTGAGTTCTGTCACCGAGACAGGCCAATTACTTGTCTGGATTGGTGCGGATGGATCGTGAGGTTGTCCAGCAGCCGGTCCAACCAGGGACTCGGGTCGTGTTTATCCAGCGGGCCTCGTGTGCTTGTCAGAGGTCCGCATCGCTCAACTGAAGCCACAGCATCGCAACGGAGTTGTGTCCGACTCGGCCACGGAAGACGGAGTTGCCCCTCTTGAAGCCCCCGCGGGGGCCCGCCAGCCAGTGTTCCAACCTCCGGGCCATCCATTCTGAGGTAGGTATCCTTTTCTGCCTGTTCACCCTCTCTCCGGTTAAATTTGGTGAGAAAGGCTCTGCAGTCTCACAGCCTATGAGCGAAATATGTACTCGCTCCGGAGCCCGGCGTGGAGATTTTTCATATTAGTGCGATTACAAGCCAGGAAGGATACAGCGAGAAAAAGCCGCAAGAGATTTTAAAAAGACTCTTTACGCGGCAAGATCATCAGCATCTGAAGACTCACTCGAGTAATGATGGAGTGGCCAACCGACGTCACAGAGGTAAAGGTTCCTCACAGCCAAGTGCCGCCGTTGCCATCTGCCTCCATCAAGACTCCACAGGGGCCAGCGAACGGATCAACGAGGGCGCTGGGAATTGGGAGGGATTGCGTCAAGAGGCAGGCACCTGCAGGTTAATCTCGAGCACGCAGCAGCTCGGTCGCCCGTGAATGGGCTCTGCGGGATCTCGACTGGAACATCAAGAGCCATCTCGAGGGGCGCCAGGTCGCAGGAGGAGGGGCTCCCAGCGTCACTGGTGTCAAGGACGGCCCCCACCGGGACCCCACTCGGCGTCTCGCCGGCCATTGACCTTGTCCCCCCGCGGCGAGGGCGGCGAGAGCGGCGAGCTCTGTGCTGTTTTTGCTGAGCTCGAATCTGAGTTGTGAGTGGGCAAGGTGAAGTGGTGAGCCAGTTGGAAGCTGGGTGGCCTGCCCTTTTTGGCGTGGCCGCCACCTTGACCGGACGGACTTGTACCTGCTGGCCGCGCTGGGGAGGATGCCCTGAAGACGCAGGCTGCATGGCGCCGAGGGGCCCTGGAGCTGCCCCCCTGGCGACCCGAGAACCACCCAAGCTCCGGGGCCCGCCACAGTTGAGATGCCTCGACGGCTACCTACCTACCATCTGGATGATGAGCAATCTTGTTGTTCCCCCAACGTCAATGTACCTCGATTCAGACTGTACCTACTCGAGCATGTACCTCGTGTCAGCCAATGTCCGCTCATTCTCGAGGCGATGATGGCCAAGGCCTGCGGGATACCGCCCGGCCGACCATTTTTTTCGAGACTGGGAAAACTGGAGACCGCTAAATACATGACACGACCCCTCCAGCAAACGTCAGACCTGTTCCGTTCATCTCCCCGTCATTCGACGACCTTTTTCTTCCCTCGTTCCTCCTCCTCCTTCTCTTCCTCTTCCTTTCTCCTCCTTCATAGAACCAGTCTCTCAAACATTCGGCAAAATGGGTTACGGCGAGATCGATCAAAAGGCCATCAACACCATCCGCACCCTTGCGGTAAGCTTTTTCCTCTTCCCCTCCAGCTCTTGCTTGTGCATTGGATTTTACCCCGCCACGCCTGCCCCGCCATTCATTCACCTTGAGTTTGGGGGGGGACGCGCAGAGAAATGTGGTGAGAGAGACAGTGTCACAACCATCGCAAGAGGGCGTCACCGCCTCATTGATTTTGTTGTTTCGCTGGCTCTCATCTCGTCATCGCGTTCGGCGTGTACCTGGCAGCTTCATAGCTCTCATGATGAGCAGAAAACAAAAGATAATGTCAACTGACGAGCTCTCAACAGGTTGATGCGACCTTCCACAGCAACTCGGGACACCCTGGTGCTCCCATGTGAGTTTTCCCACCCTCCGCTTCGTCGCCGATGAGCTTCTACAGCAAAATACATGAATACTGACTCTCTTATCTAGGGGCATGGCCCCTGTTGCCCACGTCCTGTTCAACAAGTTCATGACCTTCAACCCCAAGAACCCTGACTGGTTGAACCGTGACCGCTTCGTCCTCTCGTAAGTCTTTGACCCGGCGGCCGACGCCACAAGCTCATTCAAATAAAAAAAAAATTGACACTTTTCGTCTCCAGCAACGGCCACGGCTGCATGCTTCAGTATGCCCTCCTCCACCTCTTTGGCTATGACCTCACCATCGATGACCTCAAGGCCTTCCGAGTACGTGATTCTGACATCTTTTCTCGCCATTGCTTGCTTACCGTTGCTATAGTCGGTCGACAGCCGGACTCCCGGTCACCCCGAGGCCCATGACACACCCGGTATTGAGGTCACCACTGGTCCTCTTGGCCAGGGTATCTCCAACGCTGTTGGTCTGGCCATTGCCCAGGCTCACACCGCGGCTGTCTTCAACAAGCCCGGTTTCGACCTCGTCAACAACCACACCTACGTCTTCCTCGGCGATGGCTGCCTCATGGAGGGTGTCTCGAGCGAGGCCTGCTCTCTCGCTGGTCACCTCCAGCTCGGCAACCTGATTGCCATCTGGGACGACAACAAGATCACCATTGACGGTGACACTGCTGTCGCCTTCACTGAGGATGTCCCCAAGCGATACGAGGCCTACGGCTGGCAGGTCCTCACCGTCGGTGACGGTGACCACGACCTCGAGGGCATTGAGGCTGCCATCAAGGAGGCCAAGGCCAACACTGAGAAGCCCACTCTTATCCAGCTTAAGACCACCATTGGTTTCGGCTCCCTGAAGCAGGGCACCCACGGTGTCCACGGCTCTCCCCTCAAGGCTGACGACATCAAGCAGCTCAAGGAGAAGTTCGGCTTCAACCCCGAGGAGAGCTTCGTCGTTCCCCAGGAGGTCTACGACCTTTACGGCAAGCACTCTTCCGAGGGTGCCGCTGCTGAGCAGGAGTGGAACCAGCTCTTTGCCAAGTACAAGGAGCAGTTCCCCACCGAGGCCGCTGATCTCGCCCGACGACAGACTGGCGACCTCCCCGAGGGCTGGGAGAAGAACCTCCCCGTCTACAGCCCCGCCGACCCCGCCATCGCCTCGCGAAAGCTGTCCGAGACTGTTCTCCAGAAGGTCCACGAGGCCATCCCCGAGCTGTTTGGTGGTTCCGCCGATCTGACTGGCTCCAACCTGACCCGATGGAAGGATGCCGTCGACTTCCAGCCCAAGTCGACCGGTCTCGGCGACTACACCGGCCGATATGTTCGATATGGTGTCCGTGAGCACGCCATGGGTGCCATCCTCAACGGTCTCGCTGCCTACGGCACCATCCTGCCCTACGCCGGTACCTTCCTGAACTTTGTCTCGTACGCTGCTGGTGCCGTCCGTCTGTCGGCCCTGTCCCGCGTCCGCACCATCTGGGTCGCCACCCACGACTCCATCGGTCTCGGTGAGGATGGTCCTACTCACCAGCCTATTGAGACTCTTGCCCACTTCCGTGCTCTCCCCAACACTCTCGTCTGGCGACCTGCCGACGGCAACGAGACCAGCGGTGCTTACTACGTCGCCCTGACCTCCAAGGAGACTCCCAGCATCATTGCTCTGACCCGCCAGAACCTTCCCCAGCTCGAGGGCTCCACCATCGAGAAGGCTGCCAAGGGTGGTTACGTCCTGCAAGAGGTTGAGGGCGCCGACATCACCCTCGTCGCCACTGGTTCCGAGGTTGCCATTGCCCTCGATGCCGTCAAGGTCCTCGCTGAGAACCACAACATCAAGGCCCGTGTCGTCTCTCTGCCCTGCTTCGAGGCCTTTGACCTCCAGGACCAGGAGTACCGCCTGTCTGTCCTCCCCGATGGCATCCCCTCGCTGTCCGTTGAGGTCATGACCACCATGGGCTGGGAGCGCTACACCCACGAGCAGTTCGGTATCAACCGATTCGGTGCCTCTGGTGCCTACAAGGATGTTTACAAGGCAAGTTATCCCCTACCCCTGGTCAGCTCAAGCTTGGGCCAGGCGGTTCCCCAGATCTCTATCCCCGCAGAATCCTTTGCTAACCCCGACTATAGAAGTTCGAGTTCACCCCCGAGGGTGTCGCTAAGCGTGCCGTTGCCACCGTCGACTTCTGGAAGGACGTCCCCAACATCCGCTCCCCCCTCAACCGCGCGTTCAAGCAGATCATCTAGATTCAAGACGAGCAGAGCAAAGAGGAAAGAAAATAAGAACAAGATAAGAACAAAAACAAGAATAAGAGTGATGAGTTAGCAAGAGGCTCGGGACGGGCCGACCCCGGGCAGAATGATTATGCAAGTGATGACGACGGGCTTTGGAGCAAGGTTTTATGGGCTACGTATGGTAAATTAGACGTCTCGCGAGATGAATTCAAATCTTTTAGAACAAGTAACTGTGCTGTATCTGCTGCGTCTGTTGTTGTAACTGGTATATATGTCTTGCCATGTGATTCTGTGATTTCCATGATTCCACGACATGGCAAAAAACAGAGTTTGATGGATGTGGTGGATGTGGTCTGGTCTGTCTCGGACCAAAAATCATACCGATCGATCTATGTGCGACCTCTGAGGTATCTCGCTCAGTAGCATACTCCATAGATAAACCCAAATACTCGTAGTTCGTCTCCTCTTTTAAGGATGACGGCTCGAGTTGGATGGCAAGCGTCCATGTCACCAAGATTTTTCATACACTTTCTTTCTCGCTCGCCTCTTTTCTTCATGTTCGTTCCTCCGTGGTATTATCCCATTTGTATTGCATCGCTTCGTAATCGTGGTTTTGGTCTTGGTCGTGGCGCATGTTTCTGCGGACGCCGTGCGTGTCCCTGACATGGCTGGCTGCAGGGGAGTCGCGTCATTCGGGCCCATCCTCGTGTGCGCGGTCTTGACTCTCGACCACCCACTCCTTCTGAAACTCTCTACCCACGCGTTCCAGCCTCGCAGAGGCACGGCGGGCTTCTCTCGCCTCCTCGGCGGATCCGGCGACCACGACACCGACGAGCAGCGGCGCCGCGTCCTCGGAGCGTGGGTCGTCCTTTGCGGGTGGCGGTTCGGACCGTGAGTCGGGGCCGTGACTAGAGCCGGGTGCTGAACCGGGACGGCTCGAAGTTGCTGCTGCTGCGGCGTTATTGTTCCCGGCGGCGCTGGCTTCGGCGGTATCGCGGGGGTCGAGATAAGAGTGTAGGACGACGGGCCCGCGCTCCGGGTACTCGACCATGAGGCGCTGAGGACGGCCGAGACCAAGACGCTGGGCGGCGGTCTGGGAGGAGAGGGCGCTCGAGGTGAGGGCGGTAAGAGACTCGAGGTGGGATTGCGACGAGGCCGAGGTGATGAGCGGGGTGAGGGTGACGTCGGAGAGGTGGAGGGAGAGGGTGGGGTGCTGCGAGGGGAGGCTGGCCATGATGGCGGGTTTGTAGCGGACAAGCTTGAAGCTGTCTCGAGGGTCGTATGAGCAAGGTTGATTCAGGATTGGAAGGGTCGAGCAGAGTGAAAAGAGGCTTGTGAGAGGGAATTGGCGCAGAGGGAGAGGGGTATATGGTGTTGTAGCAGTAGAGATTGCGGCAGCGGCGGTGGTGGTGGTGGTGGTGGTGGAGGGGGATGGATGGATTCCCATAATTAGGTGACGATCTGGTGTTGGGACGGGAGCCATCCATCACCACAGCAGCTGCACCAGTGACAAGCCCTGGAGCTCCCCCCTCCCTCGCTTGGCTAGGCTGGACCCCGCTGGGAGCCGTGCCCTGTCAGTTGCGTAAGGTCTGCTAACCTCCGCTATCTCTAGTCTCCTCTTGATACCAAGGACAACCCCACCATGAACGGGCTTGAAAGGAGGGGAAGCTCTCATCTTCTGCATCAGGCTCGATATGACGACCATGTGATCAAGGTGGACAGTCAACGAGGGCATAATCACAATTGCACCTGTCACGCAGTTTACGAGACGATTGTGAGCTGGCATCAGCAGCTTTTAACTTCCAAGCAAAACCCCCGCCTTTCCCATTGATTTCAGGGAGTCCTTGTCTCCACTGGAGCAACCGACGAAGCTCAGCGGCTATGCCGCCGTTTTCCACAGACTGGGTTTAGGTACCTCATTAGCTAGCTGCATTGGCTAGGTAGAGCTACGTCACAGTGGGGAGGGGCTGGTGATAATATCACGGGCGCTTCACTCGCAATCCACGAGAATGCCATCCCTCTCTAACCAAAGCCCCAGGCCCAGGGATCGAAGCTAATGGGGCTAGGTTGAAGCTGCTAACAAACCAACAAGTACTTGCCATTGGCTCGGCAAGCATTTTGCCAAACCGTGGGGTAAAAGATGCCCTGCTGTGGAGGAATGTCTTGCTTCTTGGCCCTTTTTTTTTGTTAATTTCTATTACCCCATGTCTCCTTTTTTAACTCGTCCGGACAAAGTCCGCTGACGAGAGCCAAGGATTGATGGGGAATAATGAGATCCTGCGTGGGTTTTGCTTTTGGGATCTGACAAGGCTGATTTTGCTGCATGTGTGTGCGGGAGAGGCTCAACATCTTGGTGTCGATGAGATGAATGGTAGATACGTAGTCAAGCAAAGAGGCCAATGCTCAAATATTACTATTCTAATCATTAATTTCGTTTGGTCTTGTTCGAGATGTGCTTGCAGAGACAAACTTGCTTCATGGTCAATGGTATCATCATTGGACTCCCAACGCCTTTGCTGTCAACTTCTCAAGACATCGAGTCAGTTCAAATCGACATATCACAACCAAACGTGCTTTTCCCGGACAACCTCGGGATAGGAGCTTCAAAAAAGGAATCTGGCCAGTCAACAGATTCCTCAAGATGTCTCAGAACCTCGCCCGTGCTAATCTGGAACTCAGCGTTGACAAGTAATATCGCATTCCACAAAATCAACTCCCTCAGCAATCAAATCCCAGGAAATTATGCATCGACCGATACCCGGTGCAGATGTTTCAAGTGGGAGGGGGGCTGTCTTGGTATTCGGCCCTCGGTTCAAGTATTACAACTCCCCTTCAGCAAGATTCTTGAGGCCTGAATACAGCCAGCGTGTGGAAATACGGATCTTTGACCATTTGTTGGCAATTCTTCATGTGAAAGAGATCAATGACTTAGGAGTGATTGGTATCACTATTGAGAGATGAGCTGTTGTCCATATCCTGTGACCGTAGTTGAATACACCCCTAGTCCAAGACCGAGGTCAAGCGCCCATTAAAGTCGCTGTGGTTTCAACTCATACAATCGGTCTGAAATTGTGAAAACAAGCAGAGATGAAGGTAAATCAGGTTCGAAGATGGGTTCAATGAGAAAAATGCTTGTACATTCATGCTAATTCTAGCTTCGAGTGGTTCCTCTATTAGCATCCTTCATTATTAGCGACCGTCCTCAACAGCCAAAACCAGCCGTATTCCACGTCTGGAAGGGATTTCCAAGTAAATTTATCTGTTCTATCTCGTTCAAAATTTCTGCATGTACTTTGCTTCATCTAAAGGCATGCGGTTCTGATACTTTTCTTGTCATTGTTGTCGCACCCAACACACTAGCCAGCTCGCCATCAACATTTACCGTTATCTCGTTTCCAGCAAGTAAGAGAAATTGCAGAATGCTTTTACTTAAGGGAGTACAAGTTAATTCGTGTTAAACATTTCTAGCTCGTCCTCAGTAACGCACTCTGTTACTGAGAAAAATCAAGGTATATTCTTACTTCCACGTTCACGATAGCTTGCCTGATTCAACTTTACTGCATCAAGTACAGCATTGTATAGTAAATCAAACCTAAAGCATCGACAAGTAACTCACTGTTTCTGCCTCGCATTATCTCTAGATCCCCAAATCCAGTTAGCAGATTCAAACGGAGTCAAACTTGCATTGTATCACCCACACCTGGTGATCTAGCCTGGAGCCTCATTTCATCCCTCCAAGACTGATATTTGCCATTACTATTGAGCAGGTTTCTGGCAGTGATGGATGACTCCCTAGGCAGCGAGAATGACTCTTGTGTGTTACATGGCTTACGTCTCCTCGCGTTGTTGTGAAGGGAAAGCGACCTGGGTCGCCAGAAGTGACATGTGACCAAGACAACGATAGATAATCAAGGTTACAACAGAGTACAAGGCTATCACAGGGAATAAGAGAGTGGATGGTATTCACTCTTCAGCGTAAAAATTAGGATAGCGAATACCTACCTATTCTGGAAAGTTCAGATGTCGATGCGAGTTATTAATAGCATCCTAAGGATCAGCTATAGCTTCACGACCCCGGCCAGCATCATCATAAATTTAGGTAGCTAAAAACGACCTCAACCTTATCCAGCCTACCTATTTGGGTAATTCGGGTCAATTGCCGTGGCCAGTTGAAAAACATGGCTTCTCCAATCAAGATGGGGACAGGTGTATTCTCGTGTTCGCTGCTGCGTATACAAAAACATAACTACTTTTAGATGTTCCAGTCTTCTCTATTTTTGGGAGGATTGATAACTGTTAGACGCAAACCAGTCAATTTGAACCTGGGTGGCATGGTCAACAACAATCTGGCGTGATCTGACGTCGAATGCAGGACGCCCAGGCAGACGGTAGGCAACGCGGGGCAACAGTAGAAAAAAAAACATGGTGACAAATGGGGGTTGAAAATGGCTTCCATGGACAATGTACCCGCAATCATCAAGACGAGAGGTGACCTTTTGGCATCATGTGTCTGACGCAGTGTGGTGCAGCAGGGTCGTCTGGCAAGATGCCTCGCAGCCTGGGCAGGCCCAGGTCGTCCGTCACGGAGGATACAGGTCGCTGCTGATTGCGCCTCAAGTCGCATAAAGCGGGACGAGGCGAATGTGATTTGCCCTTTGACGTGTTGCGCTGCGCAACAGAGCGACGGGAGGAATGAGCAAGTCCGCAATCGGGACTGTCTCTGGTGGAATTCTAACCCGGAAGCAAAAAGAAAGAGTGCTTCCTTCTCTCACTGTCTCTGGGCAGCGGCGGATGCTGTGGTGATTCTAATGATGATGAATCAAGAGCCCGCCCATGGATGCTCCGGACAGCCAGCGTTGGATGGGCGATGGGGCTAACGTGCAATGAAGTAAGCCTCCTCAGCAACTCTCTTGCTAGCCGGTGGTGGGGGAGCTAGTCTGACATGTCACGGCGCACCGCAGGTTTGCGCGGGCGGTACTTGTTTGCTTGGGTGGGTGGACAGGCTCAGTAACATGGATGGGGCTGGCTGGCAGCAAGTCAGTGGTAGTGGTAAGTAGAGGTGCTGGCGCTGGCGGCGGACCACCACTTTCATCGGCCGGGGGCCCAGCAGTTTTTGGCGATCCATCCGATTTACCTTGCCAAATCTTCTCTTGGAACCACCATCACCACATATCTTTGCTGCTCTCGTGTCTCTTCCTCCTCCTCCACTCGCCGCCTCTTCCTCCCCCCTTCTTCTCTCTCGCGACTGTCGCTCTCCACCATCGCCATCAAACTGCAGCCTCGAGTTCTGCATCACGGCGTGAGAGCTTCCATCGAGCCTCCTCCCTTCCCCTTTCCCCTCTCTGTCTCTTCTTTTTTTTCTTTGGTTCCTCTCTGCGTTGTCTCTCGGGTTCATCGTCTAGCGGCTGGTCGGTTGCTCTTGCGTCTGGGTCTATTTCCATCAGCATCTGGTGTATTTTTTGGGGTTAATTCGATTCTTGATCTCGTGCTCTTCGCCGCCGGCCGGTTTTTGGTTGTCCTCGGCCTCAAACTCGACGTCTTCTCGCTCGCTCGCTTCGCTGTTGTTCTCTCGCATTCCCCCCCGGCCGCCGCCGCCGCCGAATGACAACCACATCTCGTCGCATCCCATCCCTCGAGTCCACAAAGCCCCCTCGGTCGCCTCCTTCATCTCCCTCATCGCTGCGCAACCATGGCTGCGGCTCCTCGTCGTAGAAAGCTCATCGGTCAACGCCGCCGCGTCGAGGACGAGGGCGACGACGAGGGTGGCCCGGACGCTCTCGACCTCGATGACGATAGCATCACCGACGGCTCCCTGACCGACGACAATGATCCGGCCGATGACAGTGATACTAGCAACATCGACGAGGCCTCCCCGACGGCTCCAAATGCGAGGAAGAAGGCCAATGGCGCTCCTGCTGCTCCAAGACACGCCGGACATGCCTCCAAGTTGGGCACCGACTCTGGCCATGACGGCAAGCCTGTGACGGATACCGACATGATGCTTCACGGTCTTTCCATCACGGATCAGTCTCAGCCTGGCCAGGTGATGCATTTCGACGAGGTGACGGCCCCGTCGCCCCCCAGATCGCCTGCAGCTCCCATCGTCGTGAGCTCGGCGTCTGCTAGACCACAGGCAGCCCCTGCGAATCGACGTCGCCAGGAGCACGAAGACTACAAGCGCAGGAGAGACGAGGATCCTGCCTTTGTGCCCAACCGCGGCGCCTTTTTCATGCACGACCACAGACATGCCGGGCCTGCGGCGAATGGCTTCCGCCCTTTCGGACGAGGTCGAGGTAGGGGCGGACGTGGTGGTATCGGGGGTCCGTATGCACCCATCAAGTATGTCATCACC